AAATTGACGAAATAACAGTTGTTATACATAATATAAAAAGAGACACATGAGAAACTTCAAGTCAAATGCTTTCGTCCATCATGCATACAATATTTCTGATTAGATGATTATTTAAAATATTTCATTAAATATTATTATTTTAGATTCTGAGTGGATCGAGGAAGCTAGTGGTTTTACAATGGTGTTTATTTTTTAATTTTTTTTGTCCTGTATGCAAAATTTCTATCAGAGAAATGCTTCGATTTCAACATAATATTATAGTACCTTATCTTTTAGCAAATTGGATCAAGATGGGACTTTAGAGAGGTAATTTTCAATTTTCTCAATAGTTAAAATGCCACTGGAAAAACCACCGAAAAACTGCTAAAAACAGTTACTATAGGTTAGGTACCAACTGTATCACATAATTATTAATTTTATGAACTGTATATCGTTTATATTCATCAGCCAAGCGTCCAAATAAATACATTAAATTATACCGACTATGCTCTGTAATAGTGAGTTCCTAACATAATTTTGTGTCTCAAGTATTTTAACACAAAACAATATGTCTGAGTCAGAACTTTTATTATATAATGAATTATTATTTATAATTAAATGAACTTTTTATTATAATGATGGCACGTTTTTAGTTATTACAGAACAATCAGTGTCGCCAACACAACATCTCTCCCTACTTAATTTTATAATATAATTTTTATAATAATAAATATGACAAACTCTTAAAAAAAAAATATTACAAATAATAATAATACAAATCATACTAGAAAAGAAAATTAATACATTTTTTTTTTTATATTATATAACATGTGGTATAATAATAATACATAAAAAAAAACAAATACAAATATATAATTAATTTATCAATTTTAATTATTACAAAAACTTTTTTGGTTTATTAATATGTCTTTTAGATCGCCTTACTTCCATACTATCATTTATATCAACTTTATCCTCACTCATATCTCTCTCTTTTAATTTGTGTAGTAAAAGTTGATCAATGTGTCTCTTAATTTGCCCACATTCAGAGTCCACAATAAAAATTACTTTTCCTACTTTCTCTTTAATTTTTCCTGTAATCCATTTCTGTCCTTTGCTATAATTCCTTGCTAACACCGTATCACCTATCTTAAAATTTACATTTCTTTTACCGCCAAATATTTTTTTTGTTTTATTCTGACTTAGTTCAACCTTAGTTTTTACATCCAAATTATTATTTATGTATGGTTCCTTATTGAACTGTTTAATAATTAAATCAAATTTACTATTTAATTTTCTATTCATGTGCAATTCAGCTGGGCTTTTACCTGTGGTACAATGAATAGTGTTTCTATAATCTAACAAAAATTTACAATATGCTTGTGTTATATTAGGAGTATTATCTAATATTTTTTTCATTTTATCCTTAAAAATGCCTACCATATTCTCCGCTGCCCCATTGCTTTGTGGATGATAAGGTGGTGTTAAAATGTGTTTGATACAATTATTTTTAATAAATATTTGAAATTCTTTAGAAGTCCACTGTGGTCCATTATCAGTCACAAAAGTTTGACAAATACCATACCTAGAGAAAAATTCCCTCATAACATTTATAGTATTTAATGCAGTAGTTGAAGTCATTGGTATAACTTCTGGCCATTTAGAAAACTCATCTATTATCACAATAAACATTTTTTTATTAAGTTCTAAGAAATCAGCATGTATCCTTTCCCCCGGTTCATTAGGATATTCCCATACATGTAATGAAGACTTAGTAGGTTCTTTTCTGAATTTAATACAGGTACTACATGAAGCTACTAACTGATCAATATGTTTGTTTAGTTGTGGCCACCAAAAATAATTTCTAACCATCATTTTTAACTTAACAACACCAAAATGAGTACTGTGCAATTCATTTAAGAAAATCTCCTGTAAACATTTTGGTACAACTAATCTGTGACCTAGAAAAATACAATTTTGTTCAACAGTTAATTCATGTTTTTGTAAGTAGTATGATCTAATTCAGTGGTTCTCAACCGCCGGTCCGCGGACCGGTGCCGGTCCGCGATTAAAGAGATGCCGGTCCGTATTGTGTTGTTATCTGAACTATTTTTAGTATAGTGTTGGGAATTTTATTGTATATTATATTACCCGTATACTATGGCACCATTTTGTTTCGTATCATCTACATTATTGATTGGGCTTTCAATTGCAAGTGAACACAAAAATGAACATGTTTTGATTAATTTTGTGTATTCTTGTTGATGAACAAAAAAAAGGTCTTCGTACAATTAAGGTGGTCCGCGACCTATAAAATATTATCAAAGTGGTCCGGGGTAGTAAAAAGGTTGAGAACCACTGATCTAATTGGTTCTTGAATGATTTTAACCTTAGCATTTGGCCATCCTGTTAAAATATATTTTTTAATTACTTTCAATACCTCATCTTGTTCAGTTTCTTTTTGTATCATATTTTTATTTATACCTTGAAAATAATCATTAACAAAATGAATTGTTGACACATCCATTTCCCTATCATTTGTATGTGTGATTGCTAACCTACTTAATGCATCAGCACTTTGGTTATTTTCAGATTTAACATACTGAATACTATAATCATAATTCGCTAAGAACAAGGCATATCTCTGTATCCTATTAGCTGCCACCTGAGGTAAACTTTTTTTTTCATGAAAAATATATGTAAGAGGTTTATGATCAGTAAGTAAAATGAAATGTCTCCCATATAAATATTGGTGGAATTTTTTAATACAAAAAACTATAGCTAATGCCTCCTTATCTATCTGAGAATATTTTTGTTCGGCCAGATTCAATGTTCTAGAAGTATATGCGATCGGCCTTTCTTCATTGTTTGGTAAGATATGTGAAATTACACCCCCAATACCATAGGAACTAGCATCGCATGACAATTTAATTTTGTAATTTTGATTGAAATGTGTTAATATTGGAGCTGAAGTTAGAATTTTTTTTATTTCATTAAAAGCATTGTCACATTTCTTATTCCAATTAAATTCATTATCTTTTTTAAGTAGATTGTATAATGGATATAATATTTCAGTGCTATTTTTAATAAATTTAAAATAATAATTTACCATCCCTAAAAAAGACTTAACTTGTGTTATATTAGTGGGAATTGGTGCATCTACAATTGCTTTAATTTTTGTTTCACTTGTATTTAATCCATGTTTATTTATTTTGTACCCTAAATACTGTATTTCATCTTGAAAAAATTCACATTTTTCTTCTCTAACTGTTAAACCACATTCTTTCAACTTGTTAAAAACTTCATTTAGTTTATTTATATGTGAAGCTACACTATCACTATGAATTAAAATATCATCTAAAAAACAAACCACATTGTCTATTTTCCTAAATAAATTTTCCATCTCTCTCTGAAAAATCCCTGGCGCTGAAGCAATTCCATACATTAATCTATTTGGTACATATAACCCTTGATGAGTTGATAAAGTCAGAATTTCTTTAGAATTTTCTTCAACTAATAACTGTGTATATGCTTGAGATAAATCAATTTTTGACCATATTACACAGGCGCGTATCCAGAATTTTATTTCGGGAGGGGCTGAACAAAATTATCAACATAGTCACACAATAAACAAAAAGTGGGTAAGTGGATGTCGCTCTGCTGTACAGTAGGTAACAAATGGGTCACTGTAATGGATGGTGTAAAATTTGAATTCAATGATATAATATCATTGTATAAGAAAAACGATTCTAAGCGAAAACGGTCAGTCAGCCTATGATATTACTAAGTATATTTGATGATATATTATTGTGAATAAAGTAATTTATATATTTACCTATTTACGTGGACCATTGTTTTAAATTTTTAATCCTTAACTATGAAAGTTGAACATTTTATAAATTTTTAATTACAAAATATTTATTATATTTTAAATTTGATAAATTTTGTCAAAATTTGAACTTTAAATGATTATAAGAAAAAATTGTGCCTATGTATTTTTAATATTTTTCAACTAATATTGTTACAATATATCAGGAGCATATGATAAATTTTCACGCTTTTTACCAAACAAAAAAATTTTTATTGATATTCATAGAAAAAAAACTAAGAAAAATGAAAACTGTCAATGTCCGTAAATAGCTCAAAAAGAGGCAAAATATTTGCAAATTTTTTTGGTGTATAAAAAATGAAAACATTCAGCAAAATTTTAAGTTATGTGATTTTTCCGTATTTTGTCAAGATTCGAACTTTAAATGCTTATAAAAAAACTATGACTAAGGATTTTTAATATTTTTCAACTGCTATTGTAACAATATAGCAGGAGCCTTGTATTAAATTTTCAAGCTTTTTTACCCAACAAATAAAGTTTTATTGACATTCATATTTTTTGGATTTTCTTGAAATTTCAGGGGGGGCTGCAGCCCACCCAGCCTCCCCCATAAATACGCCCCTGATATTACACTACCACTGATGTTAGAAAATAAATCTTCTATCCGTGGAAGTGGATACCTATCTACTTTTAAGTAAGGATTGATAGTAACTTTATAATCTCCACAAATACGAATAGATCCATTGGCTTTAATTACTGGTACTATAGGAGTTCCAAAATCACATGTTTCTACTGGTGTTAATATACCCTCTTTAACTAACCTATCAAGTTCAGCTCCTACTTGGTCTTTAATTTTATAAGGCAAGGATCTTGGTTTAAAGAAAATTGGTTTAAAATTTTCTTTCAAATACAATTTACATTTATTTTTATTGTAAGTACCTAGTTTATCAGTAAAAACTTCAGGAAATTTAGTTATTAATTCTTTAATTTGATTTGAGTGATTCTGACTTGTAATATTATTCATTTCAAAATCAATATTAACCTTAATACCTAAATACTTCAACCAATCATTACCTAACAAAGGTGGGCCACCATTTTCAACAATATATAATTTTAAGTCATAATCTTTTTCATTAAATTTAACTTTAACATTAATTAAACCAATTGGTGTAATACTATCACCCGAGTAACTTCATAAATTCAAATTTGTTTTAACAATAGTTAAATAATTAAAATTATTTTCATAATCTGATAAAGATATTGCTGAAATGGCTGAACCTGTATCTAATTGCATATCAATTATTTCATTTTCAATTTGAACTTTAATTGTTATGTTATTATTTTTTTTATTCACTACTTCTATTTGAAATAATGTGTCTATGTCTAAATTATCTGATTCCAAAAAATGATTTGATTTATTTATTTTGTTTTTAAAAACTTTTTTATTCCTTGTACCAAAGTTACTTTTATTATGATTTTTATTTTTTTCATCTGAAAACTTAGATTGAACCTTGTCAGTTTTATTTTTATTAAAATAACAAACCTTTTTTAAATGTCCCTTCTTATTACATATTTCACAATTTCGATTTTTAAAATAACAATTACCAAAAACATGATTCATATTACCACAACATGTACATGTGCCGTCAGCATTGTCACCATTCTTCCCATTTTTCCAATTTGGCTCCTTCCATTTGTTTGATGCCTTCTTTTTTAGGAAGTTGAGATCTCCTTTGGTAGCCTGTTGAAAATTCTCCAGACTTTTCTCTGCGCCCTCGTGTGCTTGACATATTTCTTTAGTTCTTCCATAAGTCAAATTCGGTTCTTCACATAGTTTCTTTTTAAGCATACGGTCGCTTACACCATGAACTATTTGATCACGTAATGCTTCCTCCAAGTTATTTCCAAAACCACACAATATGGATAATTTTTGTAGTTTTGTCATAAATTCAGTGATCGTTTCATTGTTTTCTTGTAGACAATTACGGAATTTGGAACGTTCAGCAAGAATCGAAACTTTCGGTTGTAAGTAATCTTTCATATTACTTACTAGCTTTTCATACTCGACATCTTTAGGTAGTTCTGGAGTACAAAGAGATTTAAGTACTTTATAACCTTCACTTCCAATTAAGGTTAAAAATATAGCTGCTTTATTTTCTTTTATTTTATTCACCAGCATATAGAGTTCTAGTCGTTCTACCCAGGTTTCGAAATCTTCTTCTTGCTGTAATTTGAATTCTTCTATATTACCAATTTTAGCCATTTTTTTTTTCCGTTTTGATCCGTGTAAATTTGATATTAATTACACTTCTCAATATCCCATCTTCGTCGCCACTTTTGTGTCTCAAGTATTTTAACACAAAACAATATGTCTGAGTCAGAACTTTTATTATATAATGAATTATAATTTATAATTAAATGAACTTTTTATTATAATGATGGCACGTTTTTAGTTATTACAGAACAATCAGTGTCGCCAACACAACACATAATATACGCTTTATTTTAATTATTGCATTCCTTACATTTATTACGAAGCACAGGCGCGTATAATAAGTATAAACATTTAGTACGAAACAAATAATATTGCAAACACTTTAGGTAACCTGCACACAGCTTTGGTATCATACACTCTTTAACTAACCTATCAAGTTCAGCTCCTACTTGGTCTTTAATTTTATAAGGCAAGGATCTTGGTTTAAAGAAAATTGGTTTAAAATTTTCTTTCAAATACAATTTACATTTATTTTTATTGTAAGTACCTAGTTTATCAGTAAAAACTTCAGGAAATTTAGTTATTAATTCTTTAATTTGATTTGAGTGATTCTGACTTGTAATATTATTCATTTCAAAATCAATATTAACCTTAATACCTAAATACTTCAACCAATCATTACCTAACAAAGGTGGGCCACCATTTTCAACAATATATAATTTTAAGTCATAATCTTTTTCATTAAATTTAACTTTAACATTAATTAAACCAATTGGTGTAATACTATCACCCGAGTAACTTCATAAATTCAAATTTGTTTTAACAATAGTTAAATAATTAAAATTATTTTCATAATCTGATAAAGATATTGCTGAAATGGCTGAACCTGTATCTAATTGCATATCAATTATTTCATTTTCAATTTGAACTTTAATTGTTATGTTATTATTTTTTTTATTCACTACTTCTATTTGAAATAATGTGTCTATGTCTAAATTATCTGATTCCAAAAAATGATTTGATTTATTTATTTTGTTTTTAAAAACTTTTTTATTCCTTGTACCAAAGTTACTTTTATTATGATTTTTATTTTTTTCATCTGAAAACTTAGATTGAACCTTGTCAGTTTTATTTTTATTAAAATAACAAACCTTTTTTAAATGTCCCTTCTTATTACATATTTCACAATTTCGATTTTTAAAATAACAATTACCAAAAACATGATTCATATTACCACAACATGTACATGTGCCGTCAGCATTGTCACCATTCTTCCCATTTTTCCAATTTGGCTCCTTCCATTTGTTTGATGCCTTCTTTTTTAGGAAGTTGAGATCTCCTTTGGTAGCCTGTTGAAAATTCTCCAGACTTTTCTCTGCGCCCTCGTGTGCTTGACATATTTCTTTAGTTCTTCCATAAGTCAAATTCGGTTCTTCACATAGTTTCTTTTTAAGCATACGGTCGCTTACACCATGAACTATTTGATCACGTAATGCTTCCTCCAAGTTATTTCCAAAACCACACAATATGGATAATTTTTGTAGTTTTGTCATAAATTCAGTGATCGTTTCATTGTTTTCTTGTAGACAATTACGGAATTTGGAACGTTCAGCAAGAATCGAAACTTTCGGTTGTAAGTAATCTTTCATATTACTTACTAGCTTTTCATACTCGACATCTTTAGGTAGTTCTGGAGTACAAAGAGATTTAAGTACTTTATAACCTTCACTTCCAATTAAGGTTAAAAATATAGCTGCTTTATTTTCTTTTATTTTATTCACCAGCATATAGAGTTCTAGTCGTTCTACCCAGGTTTCGAAATCTTCTTCTTGCTGTAATTTGAATTCTTCTATATTACCAATTTTAGCCATTTTTTTTTTCCGTTTTGATCCGTGTAAATTTGATATTAATTACACTTCTCAATATCCCATCTTCGTCGCCACTTTTGTGTCTCAAGTATTTTAACACAAAACAATATGTCTGAGTCAGAACTTTTATTATATAATGAATTATAATTTATAATTAAATGAACTTTTTATTATAATGATGGCACGTTTTTAGTTATTACAGAACAATCAGTGTCGCCAACACAACACATAATATACGCTTTATTTTAATTATTGCATTCCTTACATTTATTACGAAGCACAGGCGCGTATAATAAGTATAAACATTTAGTACGAAACAAATAATATTGCAAACACTTTAGGTAACCTGCACACAGCTTTGGTATCATACATTTATACGCGGAAAGCTCACAGGAACACAGGATGGTTATAGATGGGAGGCGGAAGGCAGAACCGCACACTGCATACTTTAATTATAATATAAATTCCCTGTAGCATTATTATATATGTATATATAACATAATAGCTTATATAAATACCTATAGTAAATACTGTCCAACTATAGCGATTATAATAATGTATATGAGCGCGAGAAATTTTTGCTCTATTACGATTTCCCCTTTAGATGTATTAAACCTTCTATTCGATTTCAGCTCCACGTTCTCCTCATGATGCACAAATGCACAATCTCCTTATATCATCCATTCCAGCCTCTTTTCTTGTTTGATAAAAATGTACCTATTGCAGTATTTCTAGAATCTTGCACAGTGGCGTTCTCAGGAATTTTAAATGGAGGGGGGGAGTTGTAGATAATTTCTAGGAACATATTATGTATAGGGGGGCTATCACCATGACCCCCTCCCCGCCCCGTGACGGCACCCATGATCTTGGATTTGTTATTAAATGTTATATAGGTACACTTTTGTAGTCGTCGAGCTAACGGAGTAAAAATGCGAAACTTGACGAGTGAACGAACAACTTTTTTTTTTTTTTTTTTTTTTTATTAAAATACATCTACAATCTATACAGTTAATAGTATAATAATTAGATTTGATAAAGGAATATAAAATTAACAGTGAAATAATATGATTGGGAAGTTATCCATTGATAACACCCAGCAAACGAACAACTTCGGTTTATTTTAAATAATTATTTTAATCATCTACCTAGGTACTGCATAATCAATATATGTTGGTAGTGGATTGTATGTGTATATATCTTCCTATTTTACAGGAACGCTTAGGTACATTTTAATACACAGACAAACAGACTTGTAATCATGATATACCAAAGTCCAAAGCTCCAAGCAAGTAGTTTTGAAATTAAACTTGCATTGGACATACAGTTTATAATAGTGATAAGATGATAGTGTTATTTTGCCCAATGATCAACAACTATCAGTGAAATTAACACATCAAGATAAATGTTAAATTAAGATTTTTTTACAATACATCAGTTTAAATCGGTTCAATAAGTACTAAGTTCTATTTGATAATAATTATATTCGAATAAAAATCATTTATAATATCGGATTATAGTATTAAGTTCACACTTTACAGCGACATTGGGAGGGTCCAATTAGATATTATGCTAAAAGGCCACTTGTAGGGCACGAATTTAAATAATCCAAAAATCAAGAAAATTACTTTAAAAAATATGACTTACTGCATTAATGATATAACAAGACTTTACAAAACGCCCTTAGTGAAGATGTGATGTTAAAAAAAAGTTATTAAACAAAAAATCTATTTGTATATTATTTAAATTTACGTAATTTGGCGTTATCGCGATTGATGTATATCGTAAATAAAATGACACGTGTCATTTGGCAGACCTGTGTGTCAGCCACCGCCTCTTTTGTGTGGTACATATACGGACGAAGGCCGTTCTCCGACAAATGATAACAACCAATTTTTACTCCGACAGTCAGGGTGACCAACTGTAAGAACTAAATATCAAAACTTATTTTTATAAAACTATTAATGAAAAAAAACCATGTGTACAACATATCAACACTACAACCTACAAATATCAAAGCTGAAAGTACTAACAAGTATCAAATACTGTAAAGTGTAAATCATTTACAGTATTTGCAAGTATCAAGTAACTTATGAAGTTTTTTTTCTACGGTAAGGTATTATAGTACATAATCATCGAACAACTTATAAAACGTGTTATTCAATAAATATTGAAAAATGTAATAATATAAAATAAATAGGTAATTCAATTGTTAAAAAATATAACCATAAATAATACAATAAAATTGTCATAATAATATGTTAGTATGTTAAATGTTAATAATAATAATTATAGTATTAGGTAATAAAAATTTTTAAAATTAAGCTTATTGACAATAAAACACACATAATCACTGTAAAACCAATAAATTCATCGCTACACGATGATTCTAAAATACAACTTTACTTATAAAACGTGTTATCGCTTAATAATTATTGGGTATGTTGTCATACGACAATACATTAACTCAGTATAATGTCAAGCAACAATATGAAATTATTTATTTTACCAAATCTTATAGTCTTTAATTCTACAAGAACACAATTGATTTATTTTTAATTGTGCACTGTTCTAATATATTTTAAGCAATAATAGTCCGATACTCCGACAAGTACGGCGGTATGATTGGTACAACATTTCCCTAATATCAATTTAATTCAAATTATGTTGGTATTGGAAAATGTTTGAGGTTACATTATGTTATCAAATTTATGTTTGTCGGAGAACGACCCCCATCTCGTACATATAGATATAATCAAGTGTAACAACTAACAACGTTACAATTTCAAATCGAAATAAATAATAACTATATTTTTTTTTATTTTAGTGTTGTGTAAAATATATAAAAAAAATGTACCTAGTCGGTAACTTTTTTAAATTGTATACCTGGACTACCAGTAATTTGTAATGTACCCATACCTAAGTATATTGGTATCAAGATCGACAACCGACAAGATCTGCAATCGAATATTTTGTACACAAATAAGGTATTATTTTGTTCGAAACTCTTGTTGAAACAAAACTAATTTGTTGAATGCGAGGTAATAATTTTTCGGTAGAAGGTGTTGTAGAATATTCACACAAATTTGGATGGTAGGTGGTGGTGTTGATTATAATGACTTCTGCCAGAGACCACTTTGATACTAGTTCGTCGCCACTTCCTACTCATACCATTATAAACAACAAAATATATACCTACGTATATAGGTATCTGCAGTATACGACGTAACTAAGTGTATACCTCGACTCCCAGTGACGGGGCCCTGGTGTAATTATTTGTCAGAGGAGTTTTTTTTTTTAAGTGATACCGGTTTTATTATCGTTTTAACACGGTTATAATAATAGTACTCGTCGCGACTCAGCCTTATAATCATAACGCGCTTCTGTATAACTGTACGTATATATTATTATACTATACAAGCAGTGGTTTGGACGTTTGGCTGTGCTGCATTTATATATATAGCCATATAGGTACACAGATTTATAGAGACGGGTTATCGAAATCGTTATTACAGAATAATCATTTGTATAAACTATACCTACGCATGCCAAATATTGTTTTGGGTGGATATAACTCCCAAAGTTCTAGGGTTAAATCATCGATTTGGCAAAAGAGCATCTCGTCGTATTAATTAAAAACAGCGATGGACTAGTAAACCCCAAAAACCAACTTACGATTTGTCCGGATTAAGATGGACAAACATCCAGCATAAACTGTTCACACATTAGGTAATTAAAACGGGTATACGAGTCAACCTACGCATAACTACCTATGACTGGTATTTAGAAGTTACAGTGAAATCCATCAAAAGTTGCGTATGTTATAATATATGGACTAAATTAAAAATAATTACATTTTCCAAGTACGTGTAAAATCATACTGCAAGGCCAAAATACATACCTCTTTAGAGGACTATGGACAAAAAGTCCCTTATATAATCGGAAGATTATACTAAATCATAAGCTGCATATTATACACAATACCATTGAGGGGGGGATATAGTTCTAGCCTCAGACACGCCTGCAATAAACCTATTTACCTATACCGTTTTAGTCGACGGGTTTCACGACATAAGTCATAACGCCACAGCCCTCGGAGTCAAAGGTCTGCCAAGACCAAGGAGACCCGCGATGAGGATGTCGTGCGATTTACGGAAAATCATCCCAACTCGGTTGTACGACCCGAGACCGACACGACAGCCGAGGTGCTGGTATATAGAACAAGCCACGTTGCTTTCGTAGGTAGGTACATGCATTGGTGAATCGCGTCCGTCGAAATTTTCCGTGGTAACCCGATATTTATTCTATATAGGTAACCGGTAGCTCTATATATGGTACGCTGCCGCCGCGGGACGACAGCTACGTATGACTCCTCGCTGCAGAGACGATACGATCATTGGTCGATCGCGATCGACGACCATTGCGGAGTGCCGAACGAAACCGTACAAAAACAAAAAACAAAACGAACAATACACATCCACCTCCTATAACCAATAATAATAACGATAAAAAAAGTAAAAAAAAAAAAAGTAAACGATTTCCATTTATATAGGTAGGTTCTGCAGCTCCTTCGGCATATATATATATACAATATAATATGTGTACCTCGCGCGCGAATACGATCGGCTTATAATAATAATACAATTGCAGCATACCCTCCAAACGAGATATATATTTCAGTGCCTATATATTATATCATATTATTATCATACCTGCGTACATCCGCCGCCGGAGTGCAACGATTTCTCCGACAATTTCACCGAGACACAATGCATAATATAATAATATGAAATATATTATTTACAGTATATAATATAGGTACGTATTGCGTGTGTAACGAGACGGGCAGACATTTCGTATTCAACAGGTATTACACGAAACTATATATATATATAATACTTCTTCCACTGCTCAAGTTGATTGCGTAATATTTGAATTCCGTTAAAGAATTTTCGCGCATCGAGGATGTGGAATTTTTTTCTCGAAATCAAAAACGTATACACGTCATTCGTGTCTCTTACCGATATAGTATACTTACCGGCCCGTAGTGAGTGTACAAATCGGGTACTACTGTCGGGAGGGGAGGGGCTAACTATAGGTAGTTATAATGCAATAAAACATTTTTTATCACTTCGCCGGAGCTACCATATTTAAAATTGCATTAGGTGTAAACCGAAAATTCACAAAATTATTTTGCATTTAAAACGTCATTAAAATGTTCTTTGTAAATAACTATTGTTAGGTTTGAAAATGTGAAACAATATCTCTCCAACGTTATTATTAGAGACAATTTTAAAAAATCGAAAATTCATCAATGGATGTGCACTATTTTACTTGATATGCGTTTTTCAGTTCAAACTGTCTGCCTTTTACACTCAGAGTGGTTCAAACAGGCTATGCAGCAGAAGCAAACTTTCTGATTTTTCAAAATTTGTTTTGAAATAGTGACGGTGTGTTGCCGTTTTCAAAACACTTCCGAAAAATATAACGAATACTGTTCAATATTACTAAAAAAAAATATATATTATTTTTGATATGATTTGATTTTGGGGGGCTGAAACAGACTTTTGCGTAGGATGTCCGGCAATGTTATACCCATATAATATACCATTTGCGTAAGATTTTAGGGCCATTCACATTATTATACCTATTATGAAAAAAATGTGCGTATATAATACACAATATCGTCGTTGTCCGTCAATCACCTGCCGCGGTACCGTGGCCTTATACTATTTGTGAATATAATAATTATGAGGATATACTATATAATAAAATATAGTGCGTGAATGTAATTTTAGGCACCTGCAGCGCGGGTTTTGATGTAGGCACACTCTATGCAAAACGCACGTGGTAAATATCTTGCGAAACAACATCATATTATAGAGAATAATATAAAGTTATATGTACCTACGAACGACGAACGATTATTTTCTATGATAAAGAGTATATTATATGTTTGATATAGCCATAAATTCGATACCAGACTGCAATTGCTAGTATAAAATATATATATGATGGTAAAATTAATTTTACTAATTTGTAATTCTATATAAGCAGTAGTATAACCACAGAGCTCATAAAAAAAGGTTGTCCGATTAACAAAAATTAATTTATAGGTACGATATTATATTTTACAGGTATGGCAACGTCGCACTGGTATTCAAGGACAGCCAGCCGTAACTCATACGCACATAAGGTCATCCCTAATTATTCGTATCAATGACCCGTCGAAAAATAGCACAATCGTATAATATCAAAAAGGTGAAAATGCGATCAATTGTGTACATATATGTATATGTTGTGAAATCAGAATAGGTACTTACTTATTTCTGTGGATACGAAACACAAAAATTGGTTCATTATTTTCTTCACACAATTAGATATTGACAACATTTGCAGTAAGTATTCGTTTTTTTGGTAGACATCTGTACATTTGTGACACTCATCTCGACATTATTTACTATAGTTTTGCTAAACAGTAGCATAATTTTTCACGATGTTCAAGGAATGTTCGTAGGATTTTCGTTACATAAATGGAGCAAATATAAATGTTCGAAGAAAAAATTTCAAACGCTCATAATATTATCATGTTTCTTTATTTATGTTTAATTTTACTTTATCTTTTTACACAAGAAAAATATTAAGTAGCACACAACAAATATAATTATATTACATTAAAAAAAAAAAAACATCGGTCGTAACCGACTTCGCCAATTTTGCGGTTTAAAAATTTACAATAAGAAATCTGTAATAATAATAGTCACTAACAAAAAGGATATGTACATGTCATGTAAATTTTTTCAAAATTTTTTTTCAAAACGTGAGCAGATTTTTTTTCTCATAAAAAGTCCGTTATTAGCACCAGTTTTGAAAAAAGAAACCGCGTAGGAACAGTTTTGCATTAAAACACGTTTTGTTTTTGGCGAAATATAAAATGTTTGTACTGGAATTTTTTTTTTTTATCAAATTTTTCTTTTAAGACGATACAATTAATATATTTTCTTTTCAAATATTTTACTTTTAGGAACATATTTTTTCGTCTTGAATGCCAGGGTCGGGTACAATATATAATTGATAATAATACGTATTTATATTATATTATAATGATAGATGGATATTATTATTTATTACTATTTGGGAAAACCAATACAATCTACAATTTCTCCGCTATAACTAATGAAAAAAAAAACGCTATTTACTCGTTTAAATAATTAAATATTTATAAGTTAAATAATATTATTATACTATTGCACGTTTTCGTATTATAGTTTCTCTATAATATATATATATTATTATTATATTTTTATACATTCCCTAATCAATAAATATATTATGTATATCATTATTATCTATTTATAGTTCAATATACTAAAAATGCCTTATTTATATATAATGTAAATAATTTTCTACAATAACGAAGTCAAATATATATTATTATATACGTATGGGTTTATATACATATATCATATATACAACATAGTAGAAACGCGTGTATGTGAGTGTAATACGTATGTGTGATGAGTGTGTGTGTGTGTGTGTGTGTGGGTGTTTAAGGGGCGGTGGGGATGATTGGTTGGGGTGGGTGGGTGGGATAAGGGTTATGCGTGGTTTACTTGACTATCGCCACTACTTGTTCGTCGGCGGCCGACGCTGCTGCCGACGTCGAGTCCAGTCCGTTGACCATTTTCTCGATGGACTTCAACTCGCTGCTGGTCGGCGACGGCTGATTGGGGGCCGTCCGGTGGTGGTGGTGTTGTTGTTGGTGATGATGGTGCTGTCGTTGTGACGGTGACACTGACGACTGTCGCGGCGGCGGTTGCAGCTGGGCCGACGCCGGTGACGGCTGAGGCTGCGACGACTGCGGTGGTGGTGGCAACGGTGGCTGAGGGGGTGATGTCTGCCGTCCGCCGCCGTTGGTCGGCGACTGAAGGTCGAGCGGCGCGGGCGGCGGAGTACTGCCGGCCGACGAGCACCGGCCCGGCGTCACCGTTTCGAAAGCCGAGCCGACGGACGATGGGTGGAGCGGGTGGTGAAGGCCAAGGTGGTACGGGTGAAACCGGCCCAGGCCAGCGGCCGCGGCCAGTCCACTGGTGGTCATCTTGAACGGGTGGCTGCCGCCGCCACCGCCGCCACCACCGCCGGCCGCGGCGCCCTGCAGGTACGCCTGCGTGAACAGCGAGCCCGGGTGGTGAGCGGCCAGCGCCAGCTGAGCATTGAACAGCAGGTTGGTGGTGGGACTGAGCGCCGACGGGCAAAGCGGACCGCCCAGGCCAGGGCCACCGGGGTACATGCCTGGATACAAGTACGGCAATAGGTGCGGCGACGTTGGGATCGGTGGTCCGAATGAAACGTTCGGTAATGGGTAGTCGATAGGGCTGTGTCCGGGTCCTGCGAGAACACAAAACGAATGACATGAGTATTGTGGGCAATCGTATAATATTATGTGAAACATTGCCACTGACAATGGCTAATAAGATCCGTGTCGGGAGAAATAGGAAATTTTTATTCGACCATTAATGTATATTTAAGCGGTTATGCATATTATAAGATAATTTGAAGTGGTTGGTAATATATATTGACAACATTTGTTGATCATCGTTTCCCAAAATCACGTTGATATCAAGTGTAATTTCCCATAATATTTTGAAAGATTTAAAAACTTAAATTAATGGTCTGCAGTTAGTGTTTGCTAAAAATATGTTATTTATAACAAATTTTACTCATGGACTCATAGGGTTGACAAAAAATATGTCTTTTTTAACAAGAACTATAGCCCAACACAATAGTTTCGTTTTTAACATTATATTGCGTTCCCTGAAATAAAGCCTTTGTGTCTTTTGTACAATACTTAGATGTTTTAGATAAATATTTATCTTAGTCATGTTTTATTTCTATTAAATTCTTTATTTCCAAAACTAATTTGATAAGGACTTTGTGGGATAACGGATAAAGAGGGTTAAGCTAAAATCGTGCATTGGACCGTCCTTATACGGGCACCCTCTTAAATATTTTATCCTGTATACGTTTTGGAAAACAGTAGGATGTTATTATTCTCATGAAATCGTTTGTTTACGGTTGAAGTTCTCTAAATAATTCTAATCCATCTTTACTGGACATATTATAAACGTATAAACATACTTGATATATATATTATACTAATCAGTTATAACTCATGTATACAACTAGCGTATAAAGCTTTGAATTCAATAAACGCACTCTTTAGATAAAATACAGAACAAAACCACATACTTTACTAAAGTTGCTGTATCCAAAAACTACACACTTTTTAATGAATGATACACTTTCTTAAAAATGAAGGTATATAATATTATGTATATTTTAAATGTATTATTTAAATACAAAAATTAAATTAAATTACGATCAGCTAAGTGCCTATACTCATTACACCTTAGTTTAATATATTTTTTACTTGTTACAATATCAATTTCATCTTCTTTGTAACAATAAGTAAACATAATTCGTTTAGGGTGTGAATAATATCACAATTTAAAACTACTTTCTTTGATAATCTTGGTAAAAGGTTTTGACGTGCATAACACGTAGATTAAAAAATAGTTATATAAAAATATTTATAGCTATGGAATGAACCGATAAATTGTGCGATTTTGTCCATCGACCGTTTTGTCAACATCATTATAAGTGTGCGGTTTTTGAATGCAAACCGAATAGTCTAGTAAAATAATTGTGTTTCTTACCAGAAGGACCAGCTGACTCCTTATCGGACGGTGAGTTCATTCTTTCCCGGCCTGATTCAGAACAACTGCTTTCTTGTTCACTGTCAATTTCCTGCTGGTGAGCTTGTTGGTGGTGGTGGTGTTGCAGGAACGCCGCGTGGTGAAGAGCCGGGTGACCGGCCAGGCGCCTCCTCATTGCGTCCTCCAGGAGCAAACTACCATCAGCCAATCCCGAGAACCACGAACCTATATTGATTAAAAGAAACGCACCCATTTTAGTAAAATTGAAATCGAAATCTTCGGATTGAAAGGTGCTCGTGATCTGGACTTACCGGGTTGGTGGGGTTGGTGGTGATGGTGGTGGTGGTGGGCAGAAATTGGTGAGTCGGGGTCTCCTCCACCGACCACGTCCAGTGGTTTGTCGTCCTCGTGATCTGAACCCGAGGGCTTTTCGTCCTGGCTTTGGACCGTTTGGCCACCGTGTCGCTGAGCCGTTAACATTGCTTGCCTGAAAACACCATTACGTTGTACACATCTGCAGATTGACAGAAAAACAAAAATAAGCTTGAAACGATCTCTTTATACGAAATGACTGTTAAACTTTATCGTGTCTACTCATACATATATAATAATATACGATCAAAGAACCGTGTGGTTGAAATTTTTTTTGCTCTCTTTTCACGCGAATGATCAATCGACATGTTTATTTTTTTGAACGGAGTTATGTATTTTTTTTGTCAGTGGTTGGAAGTAGCGTAATACCAGTAGTAGGTAGTTGTTTTCAGTAATGGCACTATTCGCGATGGAAAAAAAAAGCATTTACCTGCCCCATAATAGTATAGGTATATAAAGTACTTGATAGGTACCTCCTAAATACGACCGACACTCATTAATAATGAATCATTATACACTACGGAGCAACGTACTTCTTTAACTATCGCACGTCACCCGCTACCTCCTGCGGGAGGTCTGTGTCTGTCGCGTTAAGCCCAAAACGAGTAACGACAAATTGCATTATCTCGTTTACCGAATTATCGTGTATATAATCATATAGTATTATTATTATTTTAGTTTTTTTTTTTTTCACAGTAAGAAAAAAACGTGCGAAAAGGAAATCGAAAAAACTAATCCAGCCAGTCTCGGCAGTAGCAATAACACGACAATGATGATTTCTTTACCATTTTTGTCCGGAGATATAAAACACTACCTATGTAGGTTTGCTAATGGATTCGGATTGACATTTGATTACGGTCGGGAGCTACAAAAATAATAATCGTTTCATGGAACCATATATGGCGCTCCGCCGCCTATTACCTGGCGCCAGCTATTTTACACGATATTATTGGTATATTATAGTATATTACGGACGATTACAATTATAATTTGTAAAATCTCCGTCGTTCGTGTAATAAACGACCCCCGAATGCGGAATGGAACAAAAAGAAGAACTTGAATCATTGAAATTACTAGACATACATAATATAATATTATTATACAATAAGAGACGAGAAGAAAAAAAAGTTGATAGGTTAAACTATGTACATATTATAATAATTAATAATATCGTTGTTCCTACAACGGTGCAGTGCACAATGCGTGTCGGGAAAACCGGTGGTGTACACAGTACACGAGTAGCTCCTCTCTTCTCCTCCCACCAACCCGAGGATGATGGTATTACAATGATAAAAGTCGTGAAGCTGGATTACTATTATATGATCTTTCCTGAGGTATTGGCTTGTGTGGACCAACATCAGCGAGCGCCCGTCCAGCAGTGTAAATTACACGACGAGGAAACTATATGTGTGTGTTAAGTTTTTTGTTAACACTTTGTTCTTATAGTCGTACTTAAACAAATATAATATTTTTCAAAGTCCATCCGATACACGTTTCGATTTATTTTATAATTATAATTCTGAACGGGCTTGAAAATAATATACCGTGAACACAAGGCCGTGTCGATTATTTTAGGTGTCTGCAGACATAATATAATAATACATTCATGCAGGTTCCGGCGAGTGTGAACAATATTATATTATTATACACCACCACAAAGCGCAGACAATTGCACACTAAATCATGGTAATTATTATTATACTTTTCAGGTGGAATTCGGAACCAGGAAGTACATAATATAATGATGACATAATAATATGTATACGATATAATAAAACTTATTGTTAGCGAATTTTTCCTCCGACAACGGTGGTGGGCGGTCGATCGAACGTCTCTGTCTACAATATTTGAGTATATGAGTATATAATATAAACGATTAAAGAAATGCTAATACGTGGTTGCCTATTTAAACTTGTTTTAGTGAAAATATTGTGTATCAATAATAATATATTAATAATAATAATACTATATTATTATTATTATACTAATCGAGCGTGAAGTGTTTAACAGATGCGGACAAAACGACGAAAATTAAGGTAGAAAACGGAAAGATTAATATTTTTTTTTTTATCAATGGATATCAGCGACGGCAACAGCAGCCGCCCGAATAAAAAACAAACAAACAGAGTGGCTCTGCCGGCGGCGCTAATTTATTATTACAATATTTCCGTCGGCCGCCTCCTCGGCACCTAACCTATTACTACTACTCTACCTGCTACGTACACGTAACATGTATTATTATTATTATTATATTTTTTACGTGCATGTACACACTGCACTCGTACCGTTTATACCATAATATTATACCTGCTGCCGAGTCGTTGCTGTTGCTATGCGCCGTTTATATGTACCTATATTATACACACACACGCGGGGCGCTTCTTTTAATATAATAATAATATAATATGTACCGGCCGAGGTGTGTATAACAACAACGACGACTACGACTACACGATATCATATTATATATTAAACAGTTACCTGCGGAGTCGGGTGTGCGCGTGCACGTCATGTCTCGGGCGTCGAACGAATTAGACGAGACGGTATAATAATATTATACCCATGGTAATAAGCGTATAATATGCGTATATAAGTGTAGTGTATAGGTACCGCACGCGAAACCTGCAAGCTTGACCCGACCCGGAAAGCCTTCCAATCTGGGGTGGTGGTGTGCTCGGGTATATTATTATATATTATTGTTCAACGATTATATAAAAATAGTCGATCGGGGCTAACGACGCGGGGGTGAAGCCATTCGCGTCACGAAAATACATTCAGGGGAGGAGGGGGTAAATTTTAGGACTAGGAAAAGACTACAAAATCATCCGCTACAGACTATATTGCTATATGGCCCGACTTGAACACCGCACTTTTGACGGTTCACTTCGCTTTTCTGAATAATTGTTGTCTTTTTTGGGGACTGCGGTAAGCGATGCGTATTAACGACCTATTTATAGTCTTACTTACAGTAAGTTACCTACTGTTGTATTGTTCACGAATCCGAAAACCGATAAGCTAAACAACGGTAAACCACGCTGCGGGCGAAATATATTTATATACTACCTATATATAGGCGACGACGCAACTGACACAAACGAATTGAGATTTTAGCATTAAATTATATAGAGTTTAATTTGCATTTTTTGAAACGCGTAATTAAAAACTCGCGAAGAACGAGAACGTTTGCGGTGAAAAGTTCACAAAATGTTATTTACATTTTTTTACGTAGTCGTTTATACGTCACCCAGGGCCTTTGGCGTAAACGATAGAACTCGTGTGCGGGTCACGGCACTGCGGCCGAGTATACAATTAAAATGCTCGCGGAGGGTCACGGCGAAATTATACGCGGGCCACTGCGGTAATATCCCCGGGGAACGTTTAAAATGTTTCGAGTTATGCGGTTATATTTTTTTTTTTTTTTTTACCAAAGCCCATTCCGCCCATCCCCCCCAACACCGCTCACCTATATATCTTACCGACCGGGGGTTTTCAAACTCGGCGGCAGTATATATTCGTACACATCATAGCCTTTTGCACGGAATTAAATGGGCCGCGAACAGCACCCCTCACCGCCCCCTCTCCCCCGAGATAATATCCGTCGCATTATTATTAGATATATCTGGTGGGCGTCGACTTTTTAAATTAAAAGGCATTTCACGACGACTCTATATACGCTCGCGACCTTTGCGGTGTCATTAGTGGGATCTCCTCTCTTTTTTTAGTGTACGCGCCCGCGTGTGAGTGAATATATATGTATACGTTTCTTTTCGTCCTTTCCTTTCAACCCTCCCCTTCGTCACTCCGGACTATCCGTTCGCCCTCTCGCCTCTCTATACCTAACTAACATAAAGGCTAAACTATACACATAGTAGTAATAATAATGAAATAAAAAAAAATACAAACGCACCGCCCGTATAGTAATTCGTGCAGCGCGCACCCGAAACCGTCTCACTCACTTTGACCTTTATCCCGTGACGACGACGCCTCGCATATCATTAAGTCGTATTGTATACGTATATATTATGTATATGAAAAAAGGCAAACCGAACCGACCGACTAATACTAAGCTAACTACTGAATAAAAGGGTGGACAATTGTCGGCGAAAAATCGATAAACGCCTAATATACGGTGATAATAATATTATAAATTATAATACGTGCTTTTGCAGCCTTCGCAGTACTATGTAATAATATTATTATGATGATTGTGTGTGTTTGTAACTTTAGTGGTTTTCGTTTGTTTTTTTAGATTTTTATACGTGTGTAGAACTAACTACACCATAGTATTATATTATTACTATAATATAATATTATATTATACGGTGTAACATAATATTATAATAATATAAGCGACGAGTTGCGTTATACGCGGGCGAGCGTCAACAATCACGCGACGGTGACCGCATTGAAATCTACTGATAATAATATTATAATGTGTTCAGTGTCCACAAATTATTTATATAACATAGGTAGGTACTTCCACTGATAAATCATCTCGATCACACTTTAAAAAAGCTATTACACGGCGGGTTCGTTATGTAGCACACACGCGACGTGACAGAACGAAATGGTATCGCGTAAAATATTTGTATATCAATGTGTTTGTGTGCTGGTATATTATAACAATAATCGTACTTCCGACCGGTAAAAAAATAATAGTAATAATAATGACGATAGAAAAAAATAAAAATGTAAATCGTATCGTTCTGTACACGTAGTTTTTTGTGTTGTGTTTTTATCGGACGATCGTTTTCACGATTTGTGTACCTATGTATGTGCATAATAATATTATAGTGAACGTGTGCAGCGCTCGTCATCATATATATAATATCAATTGAAGGTAATTTCGACGGCGAACAAAGGGGAAACGGTTTTGGTTTTCGAACCGCACTAATGATAATAAATATACGTATACCTATATATTGTCGTCTACGACGGTTTTTACGAAGTATGTGCAATATTCGCGTTATTATAACATTCGTATTCCGTAATATTATTATATATGTATCGAGATAGCGTATATTATGTATATTGGACCGTGTGCACAATAATGCTTAAATGTGCGGCGAATAATGGTTGTACTCACTTTTTTTCTCGTTTACCGGCACCGGTGTCTCGGAACCCTTTGGCAAACGGGTTGTTGTCGATTTTTAACTGAGTTATCTGTAAGCATAGAAAATATAGGCACGTGTGAGTATAGGTCGTTATAACTGCAGTTGAAGTGCATCTATTTACGGCGATTTAATTGATCAAACGTCGTCAATCAATCTTCCAGGCATAATGATATTATACGCAGAGATTAATAATTATTATTATTATGTAATTACCTTTTCGTTTTGATATGCCGTAACGGCGATGAACTCGGTTTCCTTGAACACGTACGTACGGAAAGTTGAGTACGGCAACTTGATAATGTCGTTGGCTCTGACTAGATGGAAACGGGGCTGGTACTTGTGCATCGAGTTCAATATGGTCTAGAGAGAGACAGACAGACAGAAAGAAAAGATACAATTATATGGATAATTTATTATATTTGAACGCGCGACACGAAAGGGGCCGTTTGATATATACGCGAGAGGCACCTGATGTGTCGGGACACAGGTGCCGATTGGCCGGAGATAAAAGGCTGTATGAATTATTAAAAACCCTCGTATAATATACGGACACGACACATTGACAAAATGCGGAACGACACATCCGGCGAATTTTTTTTTTCACCCCGAAAAATGGTTGTTACGACAATACGTACACGATGCATAATATGTATATATATAGGTCACCACTACAGTTCGGTTTCACCAAAGTATATAATATACATTACACACAGTTGCCGAAACGACACGATTCGGTTGTATTTGTGGTCCGTGTATACCGCGGTAACTATAGCAAGCACTAATTAAATACCGTAGAAAAAACAAAAAAAAAACATGAAAACTTCCCCCATGCACGGTACTAATTATTACTGTTACTATCAATGTATAATTAATTTGGGAAATACGATTTTTAAATAATTAATAACCGTTGTCGTTTTTGTTTTTTTTTGATTATTTATTCAAATAGTGCCATAATATAGTAATAATAATAATATATTATATTATATTCGTGACAACTATTATATTATGAAACAATTAAATACAATCGAAAACGGACTAATAATAGAGTATTTAACAACGCCCGCGCCCGTTTACGTATATTAAAAGTTTAACGAATATAAATAATTACCCGTTCGTATCGTATTATTTGATAAACCTAATTGCGGGTTTCCAGTGCATTAGTTTTGTCGACCAGCCGACGATCGCAATAATATAATATATTATACGACGTCACACACGCTCAGCACATAATAATACTATATTATAATAATGTTATACGATGTTAAACACGAAAGCAATGCTAATATGATGCATTTATATCATAGAGTAATAAAACTATAGAGGCGGCATTAGGCAGATATTATGATTATCAAATCGAAGCAAAATTGAACGCCATTGTACCCCTCTTACAACTCTAGTGAACACTAGATGGCGTTTTCGACCATGAAATTAAATGGATAATCGACATTATATTTTATTACTCTATGGTCTATGGTGATAACTGATAAGAAATGATTAATGTTTGATTAGCATTAAAAATTATAATTTTAATTATAATTATAATTTTTAACTGTATTTTAAATTTTGTAAAATTGTGAGTAACGCGAGTCTAGCCTAAAATCATCATGGTCAACTGTATTTTGTGCGCTCGGACTCAGAAACAAAAAAATGAAAACGAAAATATTACATTTCACCATAATATTATTATATATTTGTATATTATAATAAGAACCACTAGTATATATATTTTTTTGTAAAATTTGTTCTTCGTATTTTAAAATTAATTTTTATTATTCGAAATAAAATAATGTGTTAGTATATTTACAACAATTTATTTTTCATATGATGGTTGCACTGCAAGTACCCCGTTTTCGCTTCACTTTTAGAATGATATGGCCACCCCTTGATTTATATAGGACCGTACCTATAATATGATATAAGAAGCGGTCGGAAATCGATAATCGTTTTCCGATTCCGATCGATCACAGCGGCGTGTGTACGAGTGATCTCCCACGCCGGATAAAAATAATATTATAATGTCTGTGCAGCCGTACCACTTTCGTATGATATAACCTCCGCCGAATACGGTGGAATCGAAAAAGACAATTTTTTTTTTTTTATTCTCTAATTCAGGGTCACACGTGTGTCGTTTTTCGCGCCATTCCGCTTTTATATAATATATACGAGCGTGTATAGTATTAATATTATACGAACGCACCACCACCACCGTCGGACGACGGCGGCGCCACAAAAGACGCCGGCTCCGACGATGTGTGTGTGCGCGCATATATACGGGTCGTGCTGGCGGTCGCCGGACCGGAGAAGAGAGGAGGAGATCTAACGATATATATATAAGATATACGTGTAAACACGCGAGCCGAGTGTGTGTGCGTGTGTGCGTATGTGTGTGAAGACAGACGGGGAGGACAAGTCTCGGGAAAAGGACTGTACGGTGGAATTGAACAAATCGAACGACATACGCGCCGCGGTCGTGGAAGGAAGAAGGGAACTGGTCGTGACGGTCCACTCGGTCTCTCTCTCGCTCACTCCTCTCCACGTCCCACTGCCTGACCACAGTATTTTTACGCGTGTGTATGAGTGTGTAAAAAGGACTAGACGCCGGTCGTGTCCAATTATCCTTGTATGTGCGTTCCGTTTGACCGGAGACACATGATATCCGTTAACTCCTCCCGCCCACCCCTGTCGTTCCTCTAAACCGGGACAGCGAGAGCTTTCGCGCGGGCCCGAGCAAATAAATGTATAATGTACACGAGCGGTTTAAAAGTTTCTCTCGTTTCCATTTGCATCCGGGCGTCCTCCTAGCGCCACGATGTAAGAAAACCAAAATTTTACGAAATAAAATCGGTCCCTTTAACGACCGTACACGCCACCGAAAAGTATAATATGAAACAGCTGAAGAAATGGGACGACGGCGTCGCACTGATGCCTCGGCGGCATCCGGAAGTCGCGAGAGTAGGTATAATTTATAATATGAAATATATTATTATTTACCTATACCTACCTATATAAACGGGGAATATAAGACCCGAACAAAAGAAAACCCCTCTCGTCGCATTGTTTCGACGAGATAATATTATTCCGTATAGACAGTCGTGCGAAACCCAACCCGTATACACCGACGACGATACGCTATACGCCATGTTATGGATCGTATATAGTTGGAAGAGGCGAAAAAAAACCCGTGACCGTGTGTGTGTAATGTGTATAATGTATATAATACAAACAGCAAAACGCAACGGTCGCCACAGTCAAGTAGGAAGGTATTATACTATTATAATATCGTATACAATATATTATATCAACGGATGAGCGGTCCCGGACGATAGCAGTATAATAATATATACAATATATTATGTTTATAATATACCTATTTAATATAAAATAATTGATATGGCCGACGACAATCGTCTCGACCGTCGTCGCGTTTATTATATTCAAATCGGACGCACGCGGACAGACATCATTTGGCGCCACCACCGCCGCCGCATCGTGTTTTTCATTCAACAAGACCTCCGCCGCGTCCGGCACGTTCTCACGAATCTCTCACGGCTGCAGCGGCGGCGGCGCTCGCCTAATCACTCGAGTTCGCCACCCACCTCCCCCGCCGTAGCCCCACAGTGGGCCCCCGAGGCATTTATCTCGTTAAAACAAAAAAGATAATAATATCGTGTGTATACCTACGTATGTGTGTGCGTGTGTACACTAACTGCTGTATTTTAACCGAGCGAGATCGGAGGGAGAGAGAGAGCTGGAGTTATAGAGCGATAGAAAGAGACAGTTATAGATATAGGTATATAGATAGATAGATAGATAGAGAAATAGTGACGGAGAGAGACGACGATAAACTCGTTCCGCGTTTTATGATCGTTTTATACTGCACTATATGATACTCGAGAGAATTATTATATATTATTATTACTATATTGGTATAGTGTAATATTTTACGTACCTCTGGAAATCTGTGGAAACGGTTGATAGGTCTGTTTATGGTCTGTAGCGAAAACTGATTTAAACCCTAATAAACAATAACGGATTCAAGCAATATAATCATTTTGGTATTAAATATTGGTGTTTTGTGTGTGTGTATGTGTGGTATGTGTGTGATGGCTGTATATAATAATAATTGTGACGGGGGTGACATTATAGACAATATGGATAAATATTAAATATTATTCGTATCAAACTCGAATCGTGAAACGGCATACAACGCGATAATTCGATTGCGCGACAGGCCATTTTCAGTTGACGTGGTTTTATTATTTTTACATTACAACCTGGTTCCACGTATACTAAACCCAGTCGTGTACGGCTTTTAAACAGAATATTTTTCAGGTTTCAATATACAAACTCTTTACTATAGACTTTTCTTTTTAGCGTTTCCAATCTCCCTTGAGTCGGACTCCCGATAAATCGTCCTATGTGCATGTTATGATAAATGTTTAGCTGAACCCTACGGATTTTGATAAAAAAGAATCTTAGATCAAATCATATACGGCTATAAAAATAACAATAAGAAATACCTACTACGCACGTCACAACGCGCGATTCCCAGTCGATGAAAATCTGCACACGAGTCCAAGCAATACGCATCGATTGGGAGGGGAGGGGGGTGTGCGAAAACGAACGGACGTCATTATACCGCCGCCTCGACGTTCCCAAATAATAATAAATCGCATAATATTCGAAAACAGTTTGGTTTTTTTTCCTTCCGTCTCTCGTTGGGGCCGTGTATGGGGGTATTAGCGCGGAGCAGTGGCGTACTTTCACACCCAACTCACGTAATCCACCTCTACCGCCGCCGTCGGTTTCTCATCGTTTTGTCTCTGCGTTTGACCGTTGCCCGTCGTGTAACGCAATAGTACATAATATGTATATATATATACTTTACGTGTATGTACGCGCACCGGTGGCGGCGGCAGACGTCGCCTGATTAGTGTGCTGTCGTCGTCGTCGTCGTCGTCGTATCATACCTCCATACCGTTGCTATATATATATACATAGGTACAATAACAATAATAATATTAAGTACACGGCCGATCGCGCGAGTGCGTGCTATACACGACGAGAGTGTGTGTGTGTGTGTCTTCGCATTCGTTTTCGGCCCCGAGACTCGGACGACGACGACAAGACACGACTCGCGGAGTGTACCCCCCCCCCCACCCGCAGGGTATATTATATTCTGACGACATCACGTCGTCCCGTGTGCAATATTATTACGCGGCGAAACATAATTTAATACACATAATATAGGTAGGTATAGGTACACGCGCGTATAATAACGATATTGTACGCCCATATTACGCATTATACGCGATTCGAGTATTATATTATATTATGCGTTATATATACGTCGACGGAAT